GGAGCAGCACCGCGGCGGCTGTGTCGCTGCCGGAGCGGCACCCGGGGCCGGCGGCGGTGGCAGCCCGGCCGGTGGAGGCGGAGGAGAGAAGGCGGCGCTGCTGTGCTGCTGCTGCCGCGGCCGCTGCTGCTGCCCGGCTCTGCCGCCCGCCGCCGCCTCCCGCGCCCCGGCCCAGCGCCGCCCCCGCCCCTCAATCGCTACATTGTTGACATTCGCAGGCTGACGTCACCCTCCCCGCCCCGCCGCGCGCTCCATTCACAACAACGCTACGCCAACGGCGCAGCGCCCGCCGCCGCGCCTACGCCCGCCGCGGCCCCTACGCACGGGGAGCAGCGTACGGCCGCTCCGCGAATAGCGGCGGCGCCGCCGGCGCTCCGCCCGCCCCGCCCCTCCGCGAGCGGCCAGCGCATGCGCGGCACGGGATCGTTCGCTCCCTCCCGCGACACGGTGTGTGTGTGTGCGCGCGCGAGTGGGGGGTGCGTGCGTGCGTGCATGCGCGCGTGCCGCCAGACCCCGCGCCGGGGCTCGCGCCGGCGGCCGCGGAGGGCTCTGGGAGCCGTAGTCCTCCGCGAGGGGCCGCCATGGCGGCGGGGGCGGCCTGAGGGGGACCGCATACGACGGCGGTGGCGGCGGGGAGGCACTGGCAGGGCAAAGAACACCCACCCCGGTCAGCCCTGGCTGCCAGCGGGGCCGCCTGGGTGTTGATGCCTGCGCGCTCCGCCCCCCGGAGCAACCTCATCCTACTTATAGTGCCGACCGCAAGCGCCCGGCAGTCATGAGTCAGCCGTGCCGGGCATCGCACGGGGAGGTGAGCGCTCCCGGGACTCAAACAAAACAAAACAAAACAAAGCCCCGACAAGTGTTCCCGACGCGGGAGCGCTGGTTGTTCTTCGCCTCCTCTCGGGTGTACAAGTGTTCCCGACGCCGGAGCGCTGGTTGTTCTTCGCCTCCTCTCGGGGGTGTGTGTGTGTGTGTGTGTGTGTGTGTGTTTGTGAAGCTCCCAAATCCGAGCCCCTTTCCCACCCCGAGGCTTGGCGCCATGGTTCCTTTTGCCAAGAAGTGGAAAGCTGTGATTTCTGCAAATTATCCTGGTGCCGGCAGGCAGTGCTTCTGAGCGAGACCCCAAATGTCAGTGGACATGAAATGCAGTAGGGAGAAGCGGTAAATGAATAAGCCGCATTCTGCAAGCCTGAGTTACTCAGCCGGGCTCGGACAGAAAAACATAAAGATGAAAGACAGCTGATAAAAAGGAAAGTTGGAGAATAAATGATTCACAATAGGGGCCGTGAGTGAGATTATCTCTGGAGACATCTCTAATTAAAGGGCGTTGGATAACTAGAGGGTTACATTTTCCTGGGTCAGTGATCTTGAAAAAGAAATTGCAGTTGCAGTAAATGTCAATAAAGAATGATGGTGACCTACTGCTAACAAAAGCACGTTCAGTAATTAACATGTGCATGTTTGTTATTTTTTCTGCGTTTGTCAGTTTTCATTGTACATTTTCATCCTCTGTTTCCCCATTTCACTACAGCCAGATGATATACTGCATTTTCTATGTCTTTTAGAGAGGAGCCATTCCTGTGAAGTTTTCTCAATGATGTCTTCTGAAATTGCATCAGCTACCTGCATTTTCAAAGTCTGCTAAACTACAGAAAACTATGTTGTCAACCTAGATTCAACTCTTTGTATGTCAGGGAAAGCACTTTTCAAAAATGTGGTTCTCCCCAGTTTGCATTTTGCACTATTGTCCACTTGTGTAAAGTGCAAAGCCTTTAGTTCCTTACAGCATTTGCCCCTACTTTTCCTAGCTACGTGTAGCTGCAGAATAGCACCCCACTGGAGATTTTGACTCATAAACTTGACTTTCCCTTTCCAAGTAATGTTCATATGAAGCCTTGCTCACCAATGCCATTTAGGTTCTGCAGACATATATGGTGTTATGCACGCAAAAAGTCCTACAGGGTGTAAGGAGACTCATCATGTTTATACACTGGCAGGGCTGAGTCTTCGTGTTGCCTTGTTTTTCCCTGAGACACAAAAATAATTTTGTATTGGCATGAGAGATAAAAATACTATTATGAGAAGGACAGAGAGATAAAAATAAGCCATGCAGCATTTGTAATGCTTTAGTTAGTGTGCTACATGCCCGTTGTGCCGCTGCATTCAGAGTGCCCATATTCTGATATTTGCAGCACACGACAGGGGATACGGCTCCAGGTAGTCAAAGCCATCCAAACTGGAAACAAAGCATGCCAAGTATGCACCATGATTGCCATTTATCTTACTGGCTGATGTTTTAGAATGAATGCTACTATTTGGCTAAAAGGAGGAGTAATGTGACAATGTCCATTTTGGGTTTTATTGCTCAATCTGTGCTGTGATAAAATTTGCAGTGGCTTCAGTGTGAATCAGGTCATGCTTGTGCAGGACAGAGATATCAGCACAGTGAAAGAAGGTAGAGCTAAGCAAGGGCTCTGCACAGAGGCTTTTTGAAAACTCACCAAGTAGCTCCATGCAGCTTTTGGTACCCAAACGCTATTAATTATTTGTGATCAATTCATCATTCAATGCAGAGTTCACACTCCCATAAGTCACTCAGATCATGATTTTGTTATGGCTGTTGTATCTCCATATAACAGTAGAAAACTGAGGAAAAGCTGACAGTTGTTTTCCAAATACAGAAGGAATATTATACTAACCAAAAGGAATATTATACTAACCAAATTAAGCCTACTGTTTAAAAATGCTATTTTTATATCACATGTTTTACATTTTAATGCCTTGGCTTCCCGATTCTTTCCCAAACTGCTTATATTCCAGCAACAAATCTGGTCTGATACTGTTTCCGTTGCAATCAACTATCTTCATGCCTAAATTTTTGTATATGTAACTATTTCTGGACCATTTTTCTTGCAGTGCAGCCAAACATATATTCCAGACAAATATGAGATATTTGAAGAGGCGTCATGTATGGTGTCTCAAAACAAAACCCAATTTGTCAAGCAATAACAACAAAATAAGGTAAGAATGAATGAATGTGAAGAGGTGCAATTTAGAAGTTGACCCAAGAATTCTTTAAGGGATAACTTGCCATGAATGCTGCAACTCATCCTCCAGAAAGGGCTGCATCCACACATTCGACAACATGTGTTAGCTCAGAGCTATGGACAAATTTCCTGGTTGCATGTTACCTTTACTAACGTATTAATTAGGTGGTTTCTCCACATTGGCATGACTTCATCTCTTTGAGGAGGACAGCCTGGTTGAGCTTATGGCACTTGACCTACTTTTCAGTGGTTCCTTTTTGGATAACACAAAACTTTACAGAGTAGCTGAATTATGAATATATATTTCAATCATATTTCATATGTAAATTTAAAAGATTTTAAAGTGAATCCAATATTGTAAAACATGTCCCAACATCCCTTTCTGAGATCTCATTTGCATATCAATCTTGTAACTTGAATAGTCTTAATAGTGCCACTTGTTGGAGAGCTCTGTGTATTGCAAGGTATTTCAGTCACGTATTTATAAAAACAAATGGCTTTTTCCTAGTGAGAGGCAATTCCTAATTTAAAGTGCTATGGAAAGACAAGTACTGCAGTCTTGGCTTCAACCACGCTGACTCAAAGACTATGAATGAGCAACACGTTAGTGTATCTTATGCAATTTGATCTTTACAATGGTAATGAAGGAGTGAAAAGGGAAAAATAAGGACAGATTTTGCAAGTTCTAATTCAGGAAGTTGTCACTTCCTTCTGAAACACATTTTGCCCTGCAGCATTTGGGTTGAAAAATACCCGTTTTCCTGGGTAAGCCCTGGTCCTGTGCTGAGATCTAAGTCATTATTGGTAATTATGCACATATTCTCCTGGGTTATGCAGGTAGGCTTAATGACATTGCATCATTTTCTTTGCAGTGATTAAGAAATTCACAGTTGATTATTGATTATACTACAGGCACCACACGTCTTTTCACAAGCAGGTCCTAACACACCCCAGGTACATCACGTTTCCTGGAGCACTGACAGTACTAACAGCACGCCCTGAGTCAGTGGCAGTGACAGCTACGAAGGAGACATTGTCATGGTGTGCCATATCAAAGATCCACAGCGTAGTGTCTCCGGAGTGTGCCTTGACATCACATCAAAAGCTCCACAAAGGAGCATTTGTCATGCACAGAGCTTCAGATCCCTGGTGTTGTGTTGCACTAAATAGTTTATTTAGTTGTTTTGCACACCCTGGCATGGTATTTTGAGGATCTGGTGAGCTATAATATTGGAAATATATTGAAGTACCAATGTTGTTGCTGGGACTAAAGTTACAGTGTCAGGAAGCAAGGTAGGAAAACACGGCAGGCACTGACCTTTAAAAAAATTGATGCAGATAACATAATAAAAAGGGAATATAAGGAACTCTTTGTATGTCAAGA